TTTTTTTTTTTTTTTTGCGGTGCTGGGGATCAAACTCAGGACCTTAAGCTTGAGAGGCAGGTGTGGTGCTACCGAGCTAAATCCCCGGCCTATGCCATAGATCTTCTTTGAGAGATCTGGAGGCATCATAAGACCCGTGGGGAAAGGAAGTGAAGTGTCATTTGCTGGCAAGTGAAACACACCAAGCACTTTATTGACAACCCTATTAGGTGGGGCTCATTACGCCCGTCGGTCGGCTGAGGCTCAGAGATGTTGAATGGCTTGCCCAAGGTTACCTGCTGCGGAAGCAGGCTTGCCTTCTTGTCTTGGAGTGGTGAAATCAGAATTGGGCCCTCAGTTGACTGATTCTGAAGATTGATAATCAACTGCCTCGCCGCATACATATGCACAGAAAAATGTGTATTTGGCAAATCCTGTGACTTCCCTACTTAGCACTTTGTGTCTTTTACGAGGTGTGATTGAAAACATATGGTGAATGTTTAAATTTAAAAGAAATATATATTACAGTAAAAGACACATTACCAAAACAAAAAACAAGGGCAACAGTGCCGGGGATGCAGCTCAGCACAAAGGCCCTAGGTTCAATACCAGTAATAAAAAATAAACAAGAAATAAATTCTTTGAAAAAGAAAGGTGAACGCAGAAAATGATTATGAAGCACACATAGACACAGAGGGTTGCCCACTTCCCTGGGGATGTTAGCAACACTGGCCTCCAGCTTGTGCTCATGCTTATACTGTGTGCTTTCCCTCGGTCAGCCCGGTGTGCTCAGCCTTAGGTTGGACACAGTGACCCAGAGATAGAGTAGAAAGGTGGGCAGACATTGAAACCAGTTGTTACCATTTGGCGCACTAGCAAGTGCCACAGGTATTGCATTGTTCCCACTCTGCTTTGCCCATGCTCTTCTCGGCCACAGCCCTCTCTTCCTTGCTTTGCCAACTCCAGCTCATCCTTCAGGTCACGGCTTGGTTGGTACTTTTTCAGGAAACCATGAAAGATACATTAACCATTTCTGCTATGCTGTGGAGCCATAGGACTTACTTGCTCTCCGCAGTTTCCTAGCTGTCTTGTCTGTTCTGCTAGACAATGAGTTCCACAGAGGCAGGGGTATTAGCTATTTCCTCACTATCATATTGTTTAAAGCTGGAACATACTAGGCCTGGCATGGAAAGAACGCCTGTGAGTGAGAGAATAAATATGTCTGCTGGACAAGGGAGACAGCTGAGTGTTGAGCTGATGCGTCGATCCACAATCTGACACAATGTCCTCTTTTGCATTGGTCTTTCAGCCATGGCTGCCAGGATCCCCACAGAGCCAAGACCTTCTCCAGAAGGTGACCCTTCCCCACCACCACCACCGATGTCATCCCTGGTCCCTGACACTCCTCCAGACACCCCTCCTGCCATGAAGAATGCCACTAGCCCTAAGCAGCTCCCACTGGAACCAGAGAGCTCCCCAGGGCAGGTTGATCGCAGGCCAGCCTCCCCACCAGAGGAATTCCTTTCATCAGAAGCAAAGAGCCCACCAGCCACAGGCCCACAGGATGCTAGACCTCCTCTGAGAAGCAGCGAGCCACTCCCAACAGCAGTGCCAGCCTCTGACAGCCCTCCCGCCAAGCAAGGTACATGTGATATCCTGGCTCAGGTCCTCTTTGCCCTGCAGGACCTGGGAACAGAAACCGGGAAAGAGGGTCCCAAAGCAGCTGGCTTCTTGGATAGAACTTTTGACCTGTCTGTTCATGTTTCCTCTACTAAGATGTAAAGAAGCCAGGAGAGAGACATAAGCTGGCAAAGGAGCGGCGAGAAGAGCGGGCCAAGTACCTGGGTGAGTAGGAAGAGTCACCTACCTTGTCATCATCATCGTCAGCATCCTATGAGTAACGCTGACATTACCGGAAAACTTCACACTCACTGTGCTAAGAGCAGGAAAGGCATTATATCTTGTGATCCTCCCAGCCCATTTTGAGGAAACAGGTTCAGAGAGATGAAGTCATTTACCAAAGCCACATAGCTAATGGAGTAGCTGAGATTCTGACCCAGACCCCCACCTCACCCTAAATCCATGCTTTTAACCACAATGTGTGGAAATCTGTTCAGTAGGCCCCCAAGTTGTATGGAAATCTCACACTATTTAGATGCAGTGGTACATGCCTGTAATTCTAGCACTCTGGGAGATTTAGGCAGGAGGATTGCAAGTTTGAGTCCAGCGTGGGCAAATTAGTGACTTAGCCAGACCTTGCCTTAAAATAAATAGAATAAAAAGGGATGGGGATGTAGCTCAGTAGGAAGGGTCTATATTCAATACTGAGTACCATGAAAAACAAAAGAACTAGAATTTATTTCTCCTTCACCAGAGTCCCTGAGGCCCGTAGGGAGGGCATGGAAATAGGCCTGCCTGAGGCCTGTCCTGAGGAAGGTCCTGTCCTGAATGTGAGAGGAGTTTGGGAGTGGAGGCCCTGCCTGGTCAGGCAGGAGAGAGACCTCCTGGGTTAGGGTAGCAGGGAGGACCCTTGAGGTTCCTCTCACATCCATGGGGCTCCTTTCCCCACAGCGGCCAAGAAGGCAGTGTGGCTGGAGAAGGAGGAGAAGGCCAAGGTGCTTCGTGAGAAGCAGCTCCAGGAGCGCCGGAGGCGGCTGGAGGAACAGCGTCTTAAAGCTGAGCAACGCAGAGCTGCCCTGGAGGAGCGGCAGCGGCAGAAGCTGGAGAAAAACAAGGTGTGTTCATCCCCCGATTCCACCTGGATCTGCACAGATCTGCACACACCATTCCCACGTATCCTTGTCTGGCGAAGTTGCTGTTCGTCCCTCCATGCCCTCTGTGTCTGTGTGGCCCCCTCTGTATTCACAACTACAACTGTGTCCTTGGTTCCAATGTCTGGGCATTTTGCAAATGCAGACTCATTTGTTCCCAAATGTGCAGTGTAGATCCCTGCAACTGTGCCTGTGTCTGTATAATGCAGAGATGTGTCGGTGATTGACTTGGCTTCATCACAGGAGTAGAGCCTCGCTTGAGTGCTGGTGAAGCTATGACAGATATGGCCTAGCCTTGTATGGTGGCCTCAGGCTAAAAGAAAACGGGTAGCCTTAAGCTCAGGACTCTCAGTCCCAGTGCCAGGGGGAATTTGGCTTTGCCTAGGAGCCCCAGGCAGGGAGAGTCCCTTCTCATCCTCAGAAAAGCAACTCGCACACCCAGGAAATGACTCAAAAATAGTGAAAAGCTCTCCGAGGAGTAGAAAGGGATGTATTGCACATGGTCCTTGATCACAGCAAGGACTCAGTAACCTTGGTTACCTGCCCTGATTCAGGAGGAAGTGGATAGGGAAAGTATTGCCACATTGTCACAGGAGGGACAAAGCTTCTCTCCTAGGTATGAGAGATGATTCTGAGCGCAGATCTTTCACTTATCCCCACCACTAGGAACGCTATGAAGCAGCCATCCAGCGGTCAGTGAAGAAGACCTGGGCTGAAATCCGGCAGCAGCGCTGGTCCTGGGCAGGGGCCCTTCATCACAGTTCTCCAGGAAATAAGACCAGTGAGTGGGCGGGAAGGGTTTGAGGTGGGTGGGCAAGGCTGGGCCTGGCAAGCGGGGAGGGGAACAGCTTTCGTACAAGGAGCTAGCAGCAGACGTGTCTTGTTTTGTGCGACGCGTGTCTTCTGGAATGGTTTATAAAACAAATGGTCCCTACCCAAGGACCTCCGTTATCAAATCAGAGATGGATTCTCGCCATTTGGTTTGCTCTTCAAACCTCTCACTTTAGGAGTAGCCTTATTTGCTCCTGTCAATTATATTAGCTGATGATACATAAAGAGGACTGTAATGCCTACAAGCACTGGATATTTAAAGAAAACTGTCACCCTGTCTTGGAAGGTAGATCTTTGTCTCTGAGTTCTTCTCACGTAGGCTCACCATGGATTTGGTCTGAGTCATTACTGCCATGTATGTACCACTGTGTTTGGATGTCTTTATGCAATGGGAAGGTTCTATAGTTCTAGCTGTGCATATCCTGGTGTATGCTCACGGAACTGTGATGTGTAGCTTACTGTGTTTAAATGGTGTGTTTGTGGCCTTGTGTTACCTCAGTGAGGGCTGCTACACCAGCCAGACTTGGGTTCCAGCTCTGGCCCTGGCCCTGGCGGTGTGACTTTTAACTTCTTGACCTCTCACTTTTTTGCACCTGTGAAGTGGGGATAACCATACTACTTGCCTCCGAGGTTGTAGGTAGATGTTTGGAGGATCAAGTGAGGTAACATGTGTATGGTGCCCAGCTCAGTGCCTGGCACATGGTAAGCATCCCATATGTTAGCTGTTATAGATATAATGGTTAGGTTGCTTTGATGTGTTTGTGCCTTGTGTGCATCTGGGTCTGACACATTATCAGCCATTTGTGTTTCTCTCTGTGCATGTCTGCACACATGTGTGCATGCATAAGTTTCTACTACTCTCTGTGCCTGTGTCTGCATGTCTTTGTCTTTGTGTGTCTGGATGAATATGTGGATTCGTGCAAGTGACTGTGACTGTGCGGACTCTTCTGTTTAGACCGATTCTGCATCGTCCCAGTACGTGGGTGTTGTATCCATATCACCTTGGCTGGGCAGTGTCAGCAAGTGCCAATGCTGGATGACTGTGGGGAGGGGTTGCAGCACCCAGCCCTAGGGAATGGCTTCCTTTGGTCTGGCCAGGAAGGCTGTAGTTTTCTAGTTTCACAACATCTCCTCCCTCTGCTCCTTCTCCGTCGGCTCCCCCAACCCAGGTTGTCTCTGGTCCCCATCCCCACTGCCCTTTCCCAGGGCCAAACTGCCTCCTCCTCCCCACCCCAGCCTGCCCACTCCTCCCTCTCCCACCCTGACCTCGGAGCATCCTGCATGGAAGGCCTCAGTGCCCCCCCTGGCTCCCCTTCCGGCCCGGCCCTAATGCCGTGTCTTTTCCCCTCCAGGTGGGAGCAGGTGCTCCGTGTCGGCAGTAAACCTGCCCAAACACGTGGACTCTATAATCAACAAGCGGCTCTCAAAGTCCTCTGCCACGCTCTGGAACTCCCCCAGTAGAAGTAAGAGAAGGCCCAGCCTTCCCCCTCCAGAGCCCTCCCAAGCCTCCAGAGCTTAGCAAGGACACCAGTCCCTGGAGCCCTCACACATGTCAGGTCCCCATCCCCGTTCCACCCCACTTGGGTCTCTCTGCCCTTTGGGGGAGCCGGCATTTGGGTCTGGATCCTGAGGACAGAGTTGTGCCCTGCAGGAGAGAACAGGGACAAAGGACAATGGCTAAGAGTGCAGAAAGCCTGGCAGGGGCCTCCAGAGCAACTCGGGGGTAGCGGCTGTGAGGTGGGAACAGGCAGGCAGCCTCATCTCCAGCCACGACCAGCTGGCCTGAGCCAATCTTTGACAGGTGGCTTTGCCCCCATGTGTCAGACTGGCCTGTGTGCCTCGTGGGGTGTTATTCTGGCTCCACTCTAGAGGGCCATGCAGTTCTCCTCTTTCTGCTGTCAAAGCCCCAGCCATGGCTTTGGCTGGTTCAAGAGTTGCAGCCAGCCAGGATGGCACAGACTCCTCATTCCCACCATGCCCTGGTGCTTACATATGAAGGAGTCATGGTAGGAGTTATTTGTGCTTCGCTAGCTCTTATTTGGTTGCTCTGTTGCCTAGCAACCAAATCAGCTGCTATACCAACCCCACCTGACTGAGGCTTAAAAATAACCCAGCAGCTGAGGGGACAGAGCAGGGTGGCTTAAGGCAGCCAGGCCCCCAGGCAGCCTCTCCCGGGCAGAGGACTCCTAAAGGCTGGGTCAGAGGAGTGTAAAGACACCCACTGCCCCAGATCAGTGCGAGCATGACCACCGCAGGCCAGTGCTCGGAGAGCAGGACATGCAGGGCCCGCAAGAGGGACACGGGAAAGGGCAGCTCAGTGTTCTGCCAGTCCTGTGTGGCTCCTTCCTATGCTCGCAGTGCCAAGCCCTTTCACCCGGGGAGATTGGTAGGCGGGGACCCTGAAGCATGCAGAATGTTGCCCTGAGAAGTGTTTTGTTGCCTGGGTCTGCAGTGGAGGTCCAGCTCTCAGAGAGGACAAGCGTGGCCCCCGCGTGATTGGGGGGGACAGTCCTCCTGGGTGAGAATCCTTGGGCCTGGCATGGGGACAGCACCTGGTCTCCCCCTGTGCCTCGGCCCAGGGTGACAGCTTCACTTGGTGTTCGTCCCCAGATCGCAGCTTGCAGCTGAGCGCATGGGAGAGCAGCATCGTGGATCGTCTGATGACGCCCACCCTCTCCTTCCTGGCTCGGAGTCGCAGCGCGGTCACACTGCCCCGAAACGGCCGGGACCAGGGTAGGGGCTGCGGCTCTGGGAGACGCCCCGCGAGGGGCAGGGCAGGGACCAGCCTCCCGCCCAGGCCGTACCC